ACTGTGGTGTAAATTTCCGACTCCTAGCTGATCATGGTCGTGAGATATTAATTAATTATTATTAATGGCATTTTCATTAATTAACTCATATCTCCGTCAAAAAGGCGCATGGGCCCAAACCAACTTGAAGTTTCTCACTACTAATTATTCCCTACATGATGAAAATAGTCTGAGTCGAAAAGCTTTTAATCACCTCGAGAGGTTCCCTCGTAAGTCTTTCTGTTGGTTTAGCTGTGCGCTCATATCTTTCATGTCGATAAATTCGTGACGTTTTACTATATTTCTTGTGTTATATTAGTAAAGGTTATTATCCATTTTAAATGCGATGTTATTTAATGAGGTATTATTTTGTGTCACATCAGACTCCGTTATTGTTTCCTTTCCATTAGATGGTGTAGCATTTTCTGAGTCCTCGTTTCCATCAGAATTTTGATCGACAGGCTCATTTTCATCATCACTATATTGATTTAAACGTTCAAAACCTTTACGATGATGCATCCAATTACCCATAAAGCTGCCACCACTTCGTCGAGAGGTATTTTTAATACCAATAATGGCTGTATTTAAACGATGGATGCTACCTATATTGAGAAACATCAAACTACAATCTAAATCCGAAAGTAGAAAAATAAGATTTAAATCCATACGCATATTTCTTGTTCGTATGATAATTCCGACAATAACTGCAATGAGTACGGGAATGGTAAAAAACGCCATAATTATTACTGATATACGAAATTTTTTATCACTAATATATGATTTAGAGGAGGAATTGGATTGCGCCACATCTAAAATATAATCCTAATTCTTCAGTTTTTGAACAAATGAGAAATACCCATACGTACCTTTTTGTCTGACTAATTCAAACTTATGTAGTCCATTCTTGCCATTAGCTAACTCGCCGATGTACACTGCATGACCATTTGCACTAACAGTTATGTCATGAGGTGATACCAAATGCTATTCAGAAAAAGGAAAACAATACGTAAAATTCTAGTAGAGTAATGATGATACATACTGAATTGGGCTCGAAAGATGTCAATATTTTACCATCACGAGCGTTAATTAAATAGACTTTTTTTATTTGTGCTTGACCACCTGTCACGGCGTATAACACAGTACCTATATAACGAGACAAAGAAACGAGGAACGTAAAACCTTCTTATCGATAAATTTTTGTACAGCAACGGTATTGGCGAATTAGAAATCTGACACCAACGAGGGAACATTCCCACGTGAGGCACTCCGATTTTGTTCAAACCTAGCAATTTATATGTAATCAAGGGCGCTGATTACGAATATGATAGCTCTTTGTGCCCATAGATCTTTCCTAGCGTTTCTCTGGGAATCGGTTTTCTAGAAATTCTCTGAAACCCTAGCAATGTTTTATCAACGTGTTGGAATTGTAGCCTAAAAATTTTGCATCAAAATGAGACGCTTTCCAGCTCTCCACGACCTTTCTTTGCAAAGTTACAGAATTTAGAAGGGACGCCCTAAATGTTCATTGTCAGCTCAAAGATATAGAAAGAAAAAGGAAAATTAATTTAGGGCTTCCCTTGTAAATTCTGTAACTTTGCAAAGAAAGGTTGTGGAGAGTTGGGAAGCGTCTCATTTTTATGCAAAATTTTTAGGCTACAATTCCAACACGTTGATAAAACATTGCTAGGGTTTCAGAGGATTCGTAGAAAACCGATTCCCAGAGAAACGCTAGGAAAGATCTATGGGCACAAAGAGCTATCATATTCGTAATCAACGCCCTTGATTACATATAAATTGCTAGGTTTGAACAAAATCGGAGTGCCTCACGTGGGAATGTTCCCTCGTGAGTAGGTTAAAGTATAGCACAACTTTGATGTATCCACTGTTTTAACTACAAATTCTACATCCGTATTAATGGATATAGGAACAAAAATATTTCCAACCTTTTGAAGACTCATTTTAAGGCTTTTTAAATTACAGGAAAATGAAGACATACTATTTGCTGTTGGTGTGAATTCAATAGCATAAATGGGTGCAATAGTATTTTTTTGTTCAACATGAATTTGTCGTTGAAATTGTCCTTGTAAATCAAAACACTGAATTCGATAGTTTTCTCTATCAGCACCACATAGTAATTTTTGTTCTTCGTTTAATGCTAACGAATGAACGATATTCCATTGATTTGGTAGTGGAAAACCGTCCACTTGAATAAAATAAGCCAACTAAGTGTTCAATGAATCATTGAATATTTCCAGTATACTTACCATCGTGCACACCATTGACGACAGTGCCCCATTCAGTTATGTACTCGCCATACTTATTGAATTTTACGATTCGACTATTACAGTAACTAGAGAGAAGGGCAGAAAATGTATGTATCAAGTAGAAGAATAACAAATACATTTACCCATCCGCAACATAAAACTCTTCATTTTTCATCACAGCAACATCAGCTGGTCGACATAACCGAGCTCGACCAGATCCAGGTTGGAACTTTTGACCCACAATTAACGATGGACGATTCTTATCTTTTAATGAATACATAAACACCTGGAAAAGAAACAAGATAAATATCTATAGCAAACGGTTTTGAATAAAATGGGAGAATCCGATAATGATGTATTGAAATATTTGAACTTTAAATTTTACAAATACTTTTTATATTAATCATATTCTTACTTGATGCATAGCAATATCTGTTAGCCAAAAATTTCCGCGATCATCAATTGTGATTCCATGTGGCATGTAAAACCTGCATAAAACAGACAAACTATAATACATAATATTACATCAAATAGCCACATACGTTTTTGCTCCCCACTTTTGCGTGATCATTCCAGTTTTCGTGTCAATATGAATGAGTACATCTTCTTCAATTGGTCCAAAAGCGTCATTACGAAAATGAAAATCATCATTAAAATACCTTAGAAAATAGAACAAACTAGATTGTTGTCTGTTTTCTTTTAACGTATGATCAATTCCTCACTTATTCTCCCATTTCCGTTGTCCTCGATGAAAAATAACAAGATCGTCGTTCAAATCTAATGCAATACCTCCGATCTCACCTACACCAGGTGTTGACTTTGAATCGGGCCATGTTTCAATGCATTTATACAAATTATCTAAACAGAGTAAACAAAAGATATAAAAACATAAATTGATGAATTCGCTGAAGATAATGAATGTTGCGAGTTCGAGTAAGCATCACATCGGATTTCTAGTACATCTTACCAACAACAACTTAAGAGGATAAACGTAACTTTTCACACCAAAAATAGTATGAAAATAACGCACTACGATTTACAAGTATATATTATTGCTTTTATGTCCCATCGTTATGAGTAAACAGTATTTTTGATTATCCAAACCAAAATCAAGCGCAAAAGTATAAAAGAAAAAGTATTACACGAAAAATGCAAGATATTTAGATTTGGCTTTGTTACCAAAAAAACATGTTTAATTCACACACACACACACATTCTCACTTGTTATGAAACTCATGCATAAATATGAGCCTAGTATTTATCTATTTTTGAGCATACAGTTAGTAAGCATAATAATAATAATAGATAAACACATGGACTAATAAAAAAAAGCCTAGAAATAAATAACCAACATTAAATGCAATACTAAAACAGAATAAGTGTACAGTTGTACAGCGCATATAGTTTTTATTTGTAGTGGAAATATTTTGAGACATTATATACACTACTGAGACGATGAGATCTTTCTTAATGCTCTCTTAGAATATAAAGGTATCAACAGCAGCAAAAAAGCCAATTAGTTTGTCCACTTGTAAGAAAAAAGGCAAGAGAGGTATGAGTTTTGAGGGGAATGCTGAATATTCTTAGAGAACGGTAAACAATTTTTTTCAGAAAAATTGAAATGTACACAATACACTACTACGTGCACAACATTTAGCGACACAGAAACTATCCATATATTCTATGATTCTTAGCGAAGCTAGTAGCTAAAATTTCATCGAACAACGATACAGTCACGATACACTATAATGACAATACTCCATTAGATACAATCGTGCAATAAACCAATAGTTCAATCTCGAATAAATGCAAAAATCAGTGGGAGAAATTTTCTTTCTCTCAGTTAGTTCGAATCTTGAAAGTCCGCATGTAGTATTTTTTGATCGAATATGTCAAGAAACATCAAATTCAGAAGAACATTTGTGATTGAGAGAACATAACAACTGGAAAGGTAGAGCAGGAGGGGCGTACACCGTTCATAATGTTCTATCACCACGAGACTAAAACTATTAGAAACAACTATTAATTCCACTTACCATTAATTTTATTTGTATTCTGTAATTTGACAATTTGTTTTTCGTTCAACGTGACGATTAGATAATAAATAATCATAATTCGATTAATATTCATATTCGTTTGATGGTGGTAGTGACAGACTAGAGGTGTGCGTGACTGTGATCTACACGGTCACGGTGTGCTAATCACCGTGACCATGATCATTTGAAAAATATTGGTCACGGTAATTTCTACTGGGAACAATGTTGAAATAATTTCTTTACTAATATTATGTCTGGCAAAAGATTTTTTAATGATATTTTCATTAGTTTCTTAAATAATAATTTGTTCACTACTCTTGAAAAAATCTACATGAGTGAAAATAATCTGAGAGCTAAGACAAACTGCCGAGAGTGAGAATCATGAATATTTAATGTAACTACTTTTGAAAAACAATTTCTCATGATCATCGTTACCGTGACCAAGAAAGCTTGGTTACGCACATCTCTATGATAGACACAAATGTGTTAGAATTTTATTTAATTCAATCGTGTGTGTAAACTGATTAGCAGAATAGAATTAGATAATAGTGTATCTCTCGATCGCTATGTTATCACTTCTTGTGTATAATCATTACAATCTTTATTAACTAAAGCAGCTTTACTATTAGAATTAAAATAAACAGAACGATAATTACCACCGTTGGATGTTAATGCCCAATCATTTGTTAATTGTAAATGATTGTCCATTGTATGTTCAGCATGATTATATAAATTACCACTTATTTCTAATGGTGTTCGAGGAGGTACGTCGGCATCCGTTGGAATCAAACTTTAAAGAAGGTTCACATATAAGTAGTAGAGAGTACATGCTCTCTCTTACTTAATTAATCCCGCAAATTGATTCTCCCAACATGAATTAAGTGGTTTTTTCTGTGAATCAGAATGATAGGCGAACATTGCATAAACATTGCACATTTCATCATGATGTGTTCCACTGCGAAAGACAATAATTTGATAAAAAAATGTTATTTTCCTCTGGATTAATTTATTACCCCGTAACAATTGTTCGTTCTCCGTCATTATCGTAAACACATTGTCCAATTATATAATCACCTTGCACAACTTCTACAGGCAATGGGAGCTGATAAAATGACTGAGCCCATTGTGGATCACTTTTGACAATTTGAGTGATTTCACCAAAACGAACACGATACATTGAGTTAACGCGTGCTATACAACAACATGTGATCATAATTAAAGATTGATTCATTCTCACAGAGCTTTTCAATACATACACCACTGATGTGCGTGCACTCGAGCAGCAAATATTTTTATTGGTGGACCGCTATAGCGACATGAAAAAGGTGAGCGCACAGCTAAACCAACAGAAAGACTTAGACATTAATTGTAAGAACAAACGGAGCATAAGGAGTGTTTTCTGACAGAGTAACAAAAATACCTCACGAAACCAATCAAACTACTTGTACTATCACTCATTCAATATATATAGAACCTTCCACGAAATGTCCTACATTAAGCTAGAACGTACTATGCGATTTCGGTTTCAAATATATTTGACTTGTAGCACCTAATAAAATACCCATTTGAAGGTTTGGTCTAAATCAAGCAAAAAGTGATGTATACCATTCTCATCAAATCATTGGTCATCAGCTCACTTTTTTTTACTCATTAATAATTGATTTCCAGATTTATCGTTCTGTAATATCGTCAAATAATGAATGTTAAGAACAATATATTTGTATGGTGTATTCTTTCCAACCGAAAATCCAACATCTGAAATAGAAAGATTTGTTCTATAACGAACAAGTATTATGCAGTACTTTGACTAGCATTCGAAATTTCTCATAAAGAACGAGTCAGTGAAACAACTCGAACTTGCTTATCATTTCTCTTTGTGCAACCTAAGAGATGGTGAAGAGAAGTACTGACACTATATCTCATTACATACCGTCTGGTAGTCTCATTGATGGAGCATTTCTCGCCCATCCATGTATGATAACCTGTTCTCCCCCGCCACAAACTACTCCGGAACTCCTAAAGGAAGTAGTAAATAGAAAACATAATCATTATATAAATTAGATTTCCCACCATGTTTGGCTATTCGATCCTGCATTTGCACACGCATACGTTAACATGTGATGAACAGCATTCATTTTAACCATTGGAGAATAACCAACTTAAATTGTTCAGAGCTATAGGGTAAGTGTAATCAGAAAGAATACCGTTGTTTACCTATCGTCAGTTCTTCATCCGGCAATCGATACTGTATGAAAGCATATTGATCTTCCTAGAACACGAAAACTGCCATATGTTCAATAGTGTGAAAGGTAGAAGCCGCTATTTGACGTCTTCATACGAGAAAGTCGAGATTTTCTAAAAAAACAGCTCAGCTGAAGTCCCAGCGACCTGAGGAAGAAAATAAACATTGTGACGATGATTAGTGCGTTCGATAGCCTATGTATCATGTATTGTCGAGATTCCCAGACATGCCTTTTGGCTGACAGGTATGTCATCGGAGAATGTCTATATCTCCCTAACCATAACAGCGAGAGATTCGGGACTTGTATAGTTCGAGCTACCTTACTTGTATTGAAAATTCATTGTTTTTTCACAGTCTGGCAATCGTGTCTTTCAAACATTAGTAAGATATACCACCTTCAGGCGGCATACAGGACTTTTTCACAGAACTATTTTGTCAGGCCCTGGCTACACTATGGCGGAAACCGCAAGTCTCTGTCACAGTTCGTTAAAAATTTGTTAAAAAAATGAGTTACTCCATTGTATTTGGAGACGAATAGTAGTAATCTAAACTTTTCTAAGCCGCCACGATCATGACAACAGTGGTCACGAAAAGTTTTTCTCAAATGTTTAAGCAGTTTGTACAATTTGTACGGAAGCAAAGCGTTTCCGAGCTAGTAGTGCACGGTCCTCATTCGTAATTAAGGGGCGCCCCTCTCTCAGAAATGATCGCCGACACCGTACATCCGATCTTGACGAAACTTTAAGTAAATGATCGGCGTGATGAGTTACGAGAATGAAAAAATTTTTTGTCTCCAAGTCTTACCGTTCAGGAGTTTTCCAGAGATCACGGTTCAAAACGGACCCTGAAGTGTGTCCTAAGATGTTTTAATATACTTCAAGCTGGAGAGTTCGGGTTTGTTTTGTTTTAAGGTACACCGAACTATATGGTCTGACCGGCGCCGATTTTTTAGTCAAGCCTTTATTGATTTTCCAGGCAACCAACAACCTCCAAAACCCGAAAACTCCTTCCAGATTCTCCATAAATCCTCAATTTGATAAAAAACTAAGACCTAATTCAAAAATCGGCGCTGATCTGACCATGTTCCTCTCAGACCATTTCCTCTTTAAAACAAAAAAAGAATAAACTCTCTACGACAAACCGCTATTAAAAATCTTGGGAAATACTTCAGGTGTAACTCTTATACAAAGAAAATGCTGTATTAAACGCTGTATGAAATACTCAAGTTTAGAACCTCTAGGAAAATGCTTGTGACTTTTGATGCAAGGTCATACAGACTTGTGCGAGATCTTATTTTGATCAGAAAAGTTTGCTCTACAAATCAGAGTGTTTAGAAATATTTTAATTGCATAAGTATCCAGGAAAGTCTGTGAGATATAACTTCGTTTGCTACGCAGAAGTTACTCTCTTAGACGGATAATCGTATATTTCACGAATTCTGAGCAGGCTTTCGAGAATTAGTCATTTCTAAACGTCATTATACTAGGAATCAAAATCACTTATATATATAGGCAATCAAAACTTTTGGCTTTTGAGAAACAAATTATTTAAGAATTTTAGAAAACAACATTTAGAACTCAAGCTTTTATGTTTATATATGTTACAGGGAATGTATACATTCTCTGACATTCGCAGGGAATGTGTACATTCCCTAGGGAATATTCACATTCCCTGGGGAATCTATACATTTCCTGGGGAGTCTGTATGCCGCCTTTATTCGAACCTCTAGACTGTCCTCTTTAAAACCACACAAGTTCGAAATTCTTATTCCCTATCCGAGCATTTTCCCAGGACCTACCTATCGGCTAAACTTCATGTTTGGGAACTTTCAAAACACATGGAACATAGGTTATTGATCACGATATAGAAATTCATAGTGGTAAAATAGAAATTCACTATTTTTTTGAAGCTTTCTCGGGAAACAAACATTGCTAAAGGATTCACCGTGATCAATAACCTATGTTCCATGTGTTTTGAAAACTCCCAAACATGAAGTTTAGCCGATAGGTAGGTCCTGGGAAAATGCTCGGATAGGGAATAAGAATTTCGAACTTGTGTGGTTTTAAAGAGGACAGTCTAGAGGTTCGAATAAATCTGTCAGAATTCAAAATACATTATTTCTCTGGAAATGGGGAGCTTTCAGATTTTGTTTGACAAGGTGCACTATGCTAGATCTGATCGGAAGGCCTAATTTCTCCATAGATTTCTTTTCCAGTAGGTCCTCTATCAAATACTGGAAACCGCATAGTTCTAACTCTTTCTGTTAAAAAGTTATTCAAAAAATACTTTTTTCCATTCTATTTCGAAATGGACAGTAGATCACTAAATTTTACGATTTTTCTCTGCTCTAACTTCAAACATCACATAATTCATGAATTTTTTATATTCCAAGAGAAATTTCTATGTCATATACTCAAATTCCCCGAACGCTGTCAGGGAATGTACAGATTCCCTGCGAACGTTCTTTGATATATATGTTACAGGGAATGTATACATTCCCTGTAACATATATATTAAAGAACTAAGAACGCTGTACTCAAATGACAAATTGGAGAAACCCACTCGAACATATCAGATACTCATACAAAAACGGTTATCTATTGATTTTCAATGATACATCATCATTCGATTTTCGATCGTGACTCACCGATGTCGTGCTGAAATTTGGCATCGTAATGGTGATATTGAATAGACTATCGTCGTCATTTTTGATATTTTCTGATGTGATTAGTGACGTGTGTAATAGCAAGGTTTGTATAATAATATTAAGGAAAAATTGTTGAAAAGATTTTGATGCCATTTTTAATTATATACATAAAACAGGATTACACAAAACAATAATAAATAATAAATATAAGATTAGAAAAAGGAATGCAAACTTATTACAAAATAAAATAAAATTTCGAATTATGAAGATGAAATTATATCTAGAATAAAAATAAGGCAACTGGTAAAATAATCTACTTTTATGACGACTGAGTTTTCTACTTAAGGGCCCCCCCCCCCTGTCAAAAATCTATTTTTTTCCCAGAGCACTCAATCTTTGTGAAATTTTTACTAAATATGTACCTGACCTTGGATAATTTTCAGTACAATATTGAGTTTTGCGAGAGTTATCTTAATATTAAGGTCAAAAAGTAGGTGTTCGTGTGTCAAAGATTTTTTCGCAATTTTAATGATACGGACCTGGGCTTGGTGTTAAAATGCAGGGAAGACTTGCCCCTACAAAGCCAGTTCTTTTTTAAATTTGAAAATTTTTTTTTGGGAAGATTTTTTAAATTTTAGAAAACTTGATTTTTTTGTAAAAAACTACATTGAAAACAAAAATTCTGGCTTTGTTAGGTTGTAGCACTGAGCTTCAACTTCATTTTAAAACATTCCCGAGCTTTCTAGCATATAAAATGGCGGAGAAATCTTTGACGCACAATCAGGTAAAACAAAAAAGACAGTTTCGAGAAAAACGCAAAACAAGTTTCTCCTTTGATTATCGCGGTTTTTTTTGGAAAGTGGTACAGGGAAAAAACTGAGAGCAGTTCGTCGTAGGTTATCGGCTA